ACTCAGATCAAGAACTCAGAGAGATGGAGGAAGCATCTGCTGCAGCAGCACGTCTTCAAGCCTCAGAGAGACAGAGATCTCTTCAAAAGTGGTGGTGTTCTTGTAGTAAGTGTTGTGAGATGCCAACAGAAGTGGAGAGCATCTGTTGTCACGAATGGAACATAGCAATGCCACAACTACAAGACGCCGACGAGGACATTGCCGAGGGTGTCCCATCACACACCTGCCTGACTGAAGATCCAGACTTTTCTCCGCTGTTGAGCCGCAGCGTTTTGCACATTGTGTTTAGCTTGCCACGTATAAACTGGAGGCGACGTCCAAGGCCAGAGGGACCCAATGGCACGCTGTCAATAGAGTGAGTAATGTGTTGTATTTGTAATGTTATTGCAACGAAATCTCTGTGTCTCTGTAGTAAAACCATGGTTAACCATAGTTTAAACATGGTGCCTGTAGTACAACAGTTGTTATACAAATGGAAGTAAACCACTAAAAAACATGGTTTTATTACATCAAAACTTCATTTTATTTGTTACTTTTCGTAAGGGCAGCTTTACAAATAAAAAGGACACATACAAAGATCTTGTTCACATACCTCAGTTGGATGTGGAAAAACCATAGGCACAGCTGATGGTTTAAGTCGTACGTGATCCTCTCCTGGGTATGTAAAATCATCAGGGGAAAAATGATCGCTGCAGACCCTCAACAACTTTAGTGCGTTAATGGGTGTGTTGATATCCAGCCGAAGAGCAATCAACCATAACTTCAGGCGAGCAGGCTCAGAAGTTGGGAATACGTGGAAAGTCACCACTCCCGAATGAGTTCGCGCGAGAGAACGTAATCTTTTAGTTTTAAGTCGGTTTGAACAATCCGGATAAGCGCAAGTAAGTACCATTTTGATTAGCCGTCGTACCTACAATGACTGTGCACTGTGTAAACAATGAGTGACGTATACGCGCGAGAGATCACTTCCGGCGCTTGCGTAAACTACGCCAGAGCGCGTACACACCTCACGCACCGGATGCCGTGTGCGCACTCAAGGAAGTTGGACATAGTGTTGTATTAGAGGTAAAAAATGATATAAATACTGTTCGGTTTCTCGCACAAACCGATCGTTTCGTGTCTTAGGACATCAATGTGTCGTCACGAGCCGCAGGGTTTAATTTGGATTTGTGCATGTTTTTTTACTCTCAAAGATTTTGTTACCATTGCCATGCATTATGTGACTGATAGACTGCAACGGCTGGACTTAAAAATCATCATTTGTGTTCTACTGAAGAAACAAAGTCACCTACATCTTGGATGCCCTGGGGGTAAGCAGATAAACATCAAATTTTCATTTTTGGGTGAACTATCCCTTTAATCAGCTCCATTAGTCACTCGTTACCTTTTAAATGTAAGATTAGCAGCCCTTATCCAGGCTTATTAACTTTTGTGTTTATGTTTTCACTTTACGTCTCTTCAAGTGGCCTCATCTGCCCATGCTGCTCAAGATGTCCTGGGACAACGGTACTCTAAGGAACGTGTGGCTGTCTGTCATCGGGGCGTCGCTTGGCTCTATCTGGGTCTTTCAGGCCTATCACATCTCTTCCTTTTAATAACCCTCCACACACGCCGAGGTAAGACGTGCTTACCTTGAGTCTTCTGTGTGTTATGTCATCCCCACATCCACGAGCCAATCAGATGTGTTTTTCCAAACCATGATAAAACAGTAATTATTCACCAGAACTGTTGATTTCTGTAGCCGAGGGACCTTTGGCACAGTAACGCGCCTTAAAATCTCCCACTTGCTTCCTTTAAAATTAACTTAAATTTGCTTGTACCAAATGTATTTCTGTGGTGTTTGAAGGTACAACAGCTCATTCATAGCTGAATTTTCAGCAGCCTTTGTCTTCAGTGTCGCATGATCCTTGAGAAATCTTTCTAATATGCTGATCTGGTGCTCAAGAAACATTTCTTATTATCACCGTTGGAAACAATTGGAAAAATTTTTTTTTTTGTGGAAACCATTTTTTAAGATTTTCTGATGAATAGACAATTCAAAAGAACAGCATGATTTGAAGTAGAAATCTTTTGTAAGAGTACAATTTTTGCAATTTATTGCCGCCTTGCCAAACGAAAAAAAAAAAAATCTTACTAACCCCAAACTTTTAAACAGTAATGTATTCTATGTGTGGTAATCCAACTGCTCAAATAAAAGCTCAGTTAGTGTAAAGTTAATGCATGTTAGTAGAGTTTGATCTGCTTAACCACTTGAGAAGGAAATGTGACATGCAGAATTTGATGACCATGCACAGCAGTTTTATCAAGGTCAGCATCCAGGAATCTCATCCACCACAGTGTTTTGTAATCACAATCTGTTATGAGACAGTTAATTAAATGCATGCCATTGTGACAAGCAAGGATGGGTTTTTTGCTCCTGTAGTAATAACTAGCTAAACTAAAGAGAAAGGGGATGTCTGAGGAACATTTTCCAAAGTGAATTATGAAGGTAATGAAAGTGTTTCTCTCCTTAGTACAGTATCTGGTGAAATAATGCAGTTAAAACCCATGGGTGATGTCATGCAGACAAATGTTTCGTAGATTGAAAATCCATCAGTCCCGTGAAAAACAGGAAAAAAAAGAAAGAAAATAGTGTGCATTCAATATGTTTTCGCTTATAGGATTTGACAGGTTTGAGGCGAGGAGAAAGAGGAGGAGGAACACACTAAAAAAGTTGGCAGGGAAGAACCACGAGCGCGTGGCAAAAAGATTCAAGTGCAACCGAGGTGGGTGAAGGGCTGATAATGGGGGGAGCTTGAACAAGAGCTGCTTTTTCATTTAACCCCTGCCTACCTCTTTACTTTGCTTTGATTCAAGGAAATGCTAGGTTTTGGAACAAAGACTTTGAATGTTAAAGATGATAAATGCTTTGGTTGCTTTGGCTCAGGCTATAATTTCATCTTTGGCTGGCAGGTGATTTGAAGGTCTGCATGAATTTTATGTCTTAGTATTGGTTTGTCCCTTTTTTTCAAAGTCCTTGAAAAATCCTGATGGTTTTGTTCTCCTGTATGATTTGAGATGATCTGGGAGAATAGGATCTTAAGTTTGGAAGCAAAAACCTTTGACCAACTGTACAAACTGACCGCTGTTATTGTGGTTCATAACATTTCTTTGTTTTGGAATTTTTCAAGATGCAAAAACCTTCTATTTATTTCCAGATTTAAATTCAATTTTGAATCCCAGACATTGCCTCAGGCATTTGGAAGCAGCTGTTTGTTTGTTTTTCTATATTTGTCAGGTTTTAAAAGTTTGTAATCATGGACCATCTTGGATTTCGTGGATCTGTTTTGGTAACTGATGCTGACTGTACTGTTCGACCTGTATTATTGAAGAAAAATGTATCCGACAGACATTTTGCAAACTATCACTCTGGCTTGCTGATGTTTTGAATGGAGACCACAGGTGTTGTCTGCTAACTGGGTCGGTCGTGAGGAGCTTTAGTTAGATGGGAAGTGATGTGACACCAAGATGAACTGCAAATTGACTTCTCATAGTCAGTCCAAAAAGAGAGCATTATTGTCCTTTCTTTTTCATTCCCTCAAGGGAAACAGAACATGTTCATCCATCAAAATCACATATTCCTACCATGAGAATTTCAGTTTTGGAAATCCAGCTCATCGGCCAAGCCAAGTAGCCAAGTCTAGGTCAGAAAGACAAAATCATATTGACTGATTCTGGCATGGGTCCATTTTTCTGCTTTTACTGTGGATTGGCTTCTGAGAGTGAGAGTAGACGGGTTTACTATGATAAGCCATTTTTGTGGAACGGTGAAGGACGTTTTGACTGTTAAGTCAAACATATGAAATTTCAGATAATGGTCATTTATTGGTGTTCTGAGATTCCTTTACATGTGGAGGGCAGGCCTTAGTTTACCTGTGGAACCTGGCTGGTTAAACACTTTGCCACTCTTAAAGTATCTCCTGACAGATTATTTTCCTCCCTGGTGCGGTTAATGTACATTTGAAGAGCATAACATCATTTAATAGTTGGGTCATTGACATAAAATGTCAAGCACAACCTTAAAATAGTTATTTGTGTTGATGAAAGAATGCGCTTGAGAAACAGTTTAGAGAGGAGAAATAAATTTAAATATAAAATACTGGTCACAAATTATTGGTCACTTTCTAAATAATAAAAGTATCTACACATCTACTAATAATTATATATAAATAAATCGTTTTTTACAGATGCAAATATGTTAGAAACGATGCATTGTGATACAAATGGCAACTTGTATCTGATGCACACTTTTTTAAATCGATGCGTTGCATCGTTAGCTTTTATGCTGATGCACCAATGTGAATCGGTAAATCTTACCATCCCTAAATAAAAATAATTCAAATGTCAAAACAACATATCAACACCTACAGAGGACACTTTACAGGACCCATCATAACGACGTGTTATGGACAAGTAAGTCTTTTAAAATATCAGACAATTTGGCCTTTTTATGACATGGAAAAGTTAGATTAGGATATAATATGTCATATGGTACAACCACTCCAATTTCTTTAAAAATAATTTTTATTTGTACAAACAAATAAAAATATTTCTATATTTTTACCTTGAAAATACTCTGGAAAATAATTAAGATGAAACAACTTATTACTTTTTACTTGATGGTTGCACAATTTTTACGACAATTTTCACAATTTAATGACTCCGAAATTGTCCTGAAAATTGTGTTTTGAAGCTATTCTTAAACATATGGAACCAACATAAACATAAATTACATTGCTTAAGCTTGTCATGTTTTTTAAACTATAATTTTAAACATTTACTTTGTTTATCTTGGACTCTCTTATTTGTCATTGACCCAATTATCAATGCTCCCCTTTCAAATGAAACTACATTAGGGATGTGTATTTAAGCTCCCTGTTCTGTCAGAACATTGCATGTTGGCATCAGATGTTTATTAGGCTGTAGGGAGTATAAAGCCTTCCTTTTTATTGCATTTCTTTTATTTAACACATTTCATAATATTTTGCACTCACCGTAAAATCTTTGAAAGGCTCGTTGGGACGCAGTTTCATACTTGGAAGCAGGATACTATTTATTCCGTATGTAAATCATGATGTAACAGTGAAAAAAGTATCCCCTCATTGCATATATATATCTCCATGCCTCTCTCGACTGTCCATTTATAATCTTGAGTGGCTCGCTAAGGAATAACAAATTAGAAACGTGAAGGAGAATGTTTACTGTACTAAATAACACCAAGGTCAGTTTAGCAAACATTAGATTTGTTTTTCTTAGTGTTTGGAGGGAAAGACTGAAATGGAGAGGACTGCATTTCATCCTGCTGTGCTCTTCATCTTGTGTTACATAGATTCAGACAAAAAAGCCCAGGCTTTTTTTGGCCAAATCAAAGAGGGCCGCAGAACTCAAAACATCACTATGAAAATGCATGACAGAGTATGAAACCTAATTCCGTTCTAGGCCCTGTCTAAATCAGCTTTAGTTATGGAGAGGGATGGCAGGGAGCTTTGGTTCCACAGTTCACGCCAGGCCTCTCGACACGCAAGCTCCTGAGGAGCGTTTGCCAGTGTCCTCGTCTGAACTAGCCTGCTGATTGATTTGCACCGAGGTTCCAGCCGCCCCTCTCCCCAGCCTCAGCAGGTGGTGAGTGTTTGTGACTTAAACCAGGGAGCTATCAGGTTACATTCAAATATCATTTAAAATATCATTGATAAAAATGGTGGAATAGCTCAGAAGCATCCAACCTAATTTGTTTTACACATATAGTCTCATTCTAGAAAAATAGTCTGTAGCTGTGAAAACAGATGTAGGAAATTATTGTTTGTAACCCCAGATATTAAAAAAAAAAAAAAAAAGTTGTTCATCCAATAACACAATTATGTTGTTCTGAAACCTGATTATGACTCTTTTTTTCCCTGTGGAAAACAAAAGGAGATATTTTGGAAATGTGTCTGTTTTGTTTTTTTCAGTTTCAGAAATCTTTCAGTCTTTTCATTTCAAAGTATAACCTTTTGTATTTTGAAGTTGTACTTCACTTCTTCACCCCCAAAAATAAAGTTTTTTTTATTGCCACACACAGGTCCATCTCAATCAATTAGAATGTCATGGAAAAGTTCATTTATTTCAGTAATTCAACTCAAATTGTGAAACTCGTGTATTAAATAAATTCAATGCACACAGACTGAAGTAGTTTAAGTCTTTGGTTCTTTTAATTGTGATGATTTTGGCTCACATTTAGTTGATTAGCTGATTGGCATGTCACCATATTCTAATTTGTTTGAACCCATGAATTGGTGGGTTTTTGTTAAATGTGAGCCAAAATCATCACAATTAAAAGAACCAAAGACTTAAACTACTTCAGTCTGTGTGCATTGAATTTATTTAATACACGAGTTTCACAATTTGAGTTGAATTACTGAAATAAATGAACTTTTCCACAACATTCTAATTTATTGAGATGCACCTGTATGTTTCCCTGAAAAAATTTAACATTGCACAAAAGGTTCTTTGCAAAAAATAAATAAACACAAACATCACACTTTCTTTTAAGAACTGTTCACTGAAAGTTTCTTCCCAGAACCCCAAGAAACTT